AGACATGAGATGGTGTAGCTCCCAAATAAGCAAAGCATGATGCCTTGAATTCTTTCTCCTGAAACTTGAAATAGCTGGGTTAGTGCTAAATTGGGTAGACATCCTGCAGACCTCCCCTCAATGTCAGCAAACCTCAGCCAGAAATTCAGCCCTGAGTGCCAGAGATGGTGGCAGGTCTGTGCTTATGTGTGACTGAGCTGAGTTGAGTTGAGTTTCCATCAGCAGTATGGTAGGGGAGGATACAAGTCCACAACACAGTGGGAATAGCACCAACTTCACGAGGTCACAAGGCGCCCTAGGAAGCAGCAGCTGTCACATCTGCATATTGGTCTTTCCTCTCCACTTCTCTCCAGGAATTGGTTATGCTTCCATAGTGATTGTGTCCCTTCTGAACGTGTACTACATCGTGATCCTGGCCTGGGGACTCTACTACCTGTTCCAGTCGTTCCAGAGCGTCCTGCCGTGGGCACACTGCCACCAGAAGTGGAACACACCGACCTGTGTGGAAGACACTCTCAGGAAGAACAAAACGCTTTGGATATCACTCAATGCCACTAACTTCACCTCTCCTGTCACAGAGTTTTGGGAGTAAGTACCCCCTCTTCATGGTGTATTTGGGAAGCTTTGATGGCATGCCAGAGGTTAGGCCTGAGATATTATGGAGGACCAACGGGGAGTGTTAAATAGGAAAAGAAAACTGCTCTGTGTGGCAGTTGTTTGACCAGAATTCGCTGCTGGTTCTCACCTGTCTTGAGACAGACTGGTAAGTCTGGGTGTGGTGCAGGAAGGCATTAGATGCATACCTGTATTCATCCTAAAGCGCACAGGGAGCCCTAAAATCCCAGTGAAACTTTGTTTGGAAGAAAATTTGTTCCTTCTTCTTTGGGATTCTCTTAGTGCAGCAGGAGAACAGAAACAAGTCACTGCAGGTGCCCTGATAGCAGGGTTTTACAATGGAAACAGTAATGAATCATCACCTCTTCCCCAATTGTTAGCATTTGCAGCACACTCTGTGAAGCTATAACACATCTCTTTTCAGTCTGACAACAATGCAAGGCTTTGACCTCAGTAATAAATCTGACAGAGGCGGTGAACGTTGTCCTGTACTGTAGCTTTCTCAGGTCATCTTTGTTACATCGTTTTTCTGTGCAGTCTCTGGGGAGACTGTTTTGCCAGATGCCTGAATTTCATCAGGCCTAAGCTTCTTATTCTCATTTCTCTCTTATTTTTGAAGTTTTAAATTATATTGCATAACCTGATTTCTGAACAGGCATGACCTCAAATCACTGTGTGTTTACATAAGCGTCAAAACATAGCAGCAGGGGAAGACTCCTGTAGGGAATCTTAAATCCAGAGGATCTACAAATAGCTTAGGAATAATTTTTATTTTTTTTTTACTTGCTTAGGTGGTCACTTAAGAGGAGAATTAGTTTCTGGCCCAGCTTGGCTTTTTCAGCATGTTTAAAGTCTAGTTTCATCCCTGATCAACTTGTACCTACTTCTTTATTTTTAAAAATAAGCATTAGCTGAAGCCTCAGAAGGAATGATGTTCATGCCAAAGATGTTTGGCATACATTAGGTTTAGAAAAAAAATAGTCTCATAACTGTGCTAAAATTTGTAACACAAGAGCCAAAATGCAAAGGGCAGATGGGATCTTGGTTCAG